AACAATTGAAATAAACAGTGTTTCAATGTTTTCCAAGTCTACTATTATTCAGGTATGGTAATAATAATCAAAATAAAAATGAATCATTAAAGTTTACAAACAGTACAGTTTCTTATTTCCAGATGCTTTTAGAATTATTATACGGTCACAGGCCTCGAAAGAACATGCAAATGATAAGTTATAATTATAGCCGGGCATAGATTATTTTTTAAAATCTAAATTAATTCTGAGATTAATATAATTAAAATGGCTTATTTGAATTCTGCCGAAGGCATTCTGTAAAGAAACTTGAAATAATGTGTTACTTTGTTTATGATTTTGAATTTATTTATTTTTTTATGTTGTGTTGTATTTTGTATATGGATTGATTTGTTGAATGAACTAAGTTGTTTGGGGACTTTAATTATGACGTCAAAATTGCGGAGCTTACCGGATGTATAAATTGCGTGTAGTAATAAATAAAAACAAGTACTTGATAACAAGTAGTATGGAACGCTAGGTGAAACACAGTCAAAGGGGCACAGGTATACGGTTGCTTCACGGATTCCTCCTTTATGAGTTATAGCTCCTGGTTTGAGGGAAAAATAAGGTAATTTGGTTTATTTGTTTAATGTTTAATTGTTGATGTTGGCTTAGTGTTAATTTTTGGGATTTATTTGTGTTGTTTGTTTATTTTCTCTCTAGTTCTTACGGTGATTCATGATTGAATAATGCAAACAAATTCTATGAAGTGTGACCAATAAATGAATCGTGAACATCAGTGGAAGACTTAGTCATCTTTTAACCAGGACGCTACACATTCAGAATATGTGTGCTACCCAAATAATAAGTGTTTGAGAACGGGTTTCTCAAGCCAGGTGGCGCATTTGACCTGGGGCTTATCTCCTGTTTCCAAAATGCATCACAAACTGCTTGAGAAACTGTTCTACTATGATAATTGGTCATGAAAATAAATGATGTTCTGTAAGATGTACTTGTGTTTACTAACTGTTTATTGAGTTAAACATGAATGTTAAACTGTAGGCCTACATAAACTCCAAACAGCGATTTTATTTATTTATTTATTTATTTATTTTTTTTGATCACCTTAATCCAACTAAAGTCAGAACTGAACTAAACCGAATTGGAATTTAGATATGTGGAGTATGCAGATATTAGTGGCATTATTGAAGTAAACACTGCAATCAGTAAACATCGTCATGTACTGTAGGACTTTTTGCTATATTTTTCTACATAATCCACACAACCGGCTGAAAGTAAAGGACCACACACACACACATTGCAAAATGCGGAAGTTTTTTATTTCCATTTGGCATGTGTTATTAAATTCCAAAACACTCTCACCAGTCCTTGCTCCTTATTTGCATCTAATATCCCAGTTTTTCACAGGGGCATGAATGAAATGTTCATGGGTTAAAGTGAAACTGCCGAACTGCAGTTAAAGTCACCCAAAATTACAAGAAACTCTTCACGTAAGCACCTTTAATTAATAATAATTATATTAATAATATAATAAATAATATTATTGTCTATTAAGGCAAATAACTAGACTACAGATGTCCATGTAAACATAGTCTCCGTTTACTTCGAAGTAGGTGAAAGATCCAGAAGGACATCCTGCTAATTTGATTCAGAATGGCACTTTTTTGACGAATCACTGATCAGGTATACATCCGCGCTGAAATATCAAGGTGAAAGTCATCATAGCTTGCATAGAATAGACCCAGCTCCCAACTCAACTTTGAGAATAGATAACGGCGATTGATTTTTAATTTTTTTTTCGTGCGATAAGATTCTCGCGTTAACTCAGCACGTTAACGCCAATAACGGCCCACCACTAGTTATTATACAAATTTAACTTTGCATATCCTGCGATGTGACTATTGCGAATGATCAGTCTGGGATATCGATGCTAAAATGATATATTATGCAGCTCTATCTCTGTCAATGTTTTCAAACAATTATATTTAATTTACCAAAGTCACACAAGTTGCAATTTCACATCTGTCACATCCATAACATTGAGATGTGTCACATCCATAATGAAGCTTTTTCCTCACATATGCAAAAAAGTTAAGTAAAATTAATTATTTTTTTCTATAAAGTGCCAAATCTTATCCTTTTGATTATCATTGTTTCTTTTGGGTTGTGCAGTTTAACTTAACTTAACATTTAACTTTTGGTTACATCTGTAACGCAAGTTTATTTTTCTCATTTAACATATAAAATATGTTTACAGTTTGTAATTTTTGATATATTAGTTGTTTTGGAAACTATAAACAGATATTTCAATTTAATATTAACATTTACTTTCTCTTTGTATTTATGTTTCGTGTTTTTACTGCAAATGTCACTCCCATAAGGCTGGAATTGCTCATGACACTACAATTAATGAAGTACTTGTCTTTGACTCACATGACCGCACACGCATACTCAGGCATATTTAGTTTAAGGTTGTGAGCTGATGGCCTGTGATTAGCATCTGCATTCATATCATTAAGACACAGATGACAGGGTACATTGTCCTTCTCTACTGCTCTTACAGTGTAAATGCTCTTTCCTATCTGCTGTCCTGTGTTTCTACAGCTCTGATGTGAGTATAGCTCTATATGCCAACTGTTGGCCGCAATGCTGTGAAACCTGTTGCTAAGGAAAGAGTGAATGCATGCATGAACACTGAATGTCATCAAGATTTATTGAACGAGGGATTTTTAGTCCAAGAGATGAGATGTTTTCTGGAACCTGTTAAGAGTTGAGTTAAAGGCAATGGGCATTCTCTGTGTTTTTACAACTGGCTCAGTCATGTGTGAATGTCTGCTAGATTGCTTTTGGTGCGAGTCTTGTGGTGCGGATTTTGGGCTCTTAGAAAATGCAAAAAGATAGGGCAGTGGATAAATAGTACAACAGCTACTTCATTATTAAGAACACACTTTTGGTAATGAGCTGTGACCCGGAGCTCAAGTCAACAGAAACGTGTGTAACGAGACGTGTTTTTGAGTGGAAGAGTTTGTAAATGTTGTTGAAAAACTCCCTCTTTTGCTTACAGGGCTTCATTTATTTGCTCAAAATACAGTATTATTGTAAAATATTAATGGGAATATGGAAAGAATATTAATAAAATGGGTAAAATGTAGGAATGCAGCGATACCATTTTATTTGGAACGGATCCTATTCTAATACCAAAATTCTGAATATCGACTGATACAGATCCGATCCTGATATGGGGCTGTTTTTTATACATTTTTTAAATTAACATAACATATAGTTTTTGGCGATGGCGATGCAGTGGCGCAGTAGGTAGTGCTGTCGCCTCACAGCAAGAAAGTCGCTGGTTTGAGCCTCGGTTGGGTCAATTGCAGTTTCTGTGTAGAGTTTGCATGTCCTCCCTGCGTTCGCATGGGTTTCCTCCGTGTGGTTTCCCCCACAGTCCAAAGACATGCTCTATAGGTGAATTGGGTAGGCTAAATTGTCCATAGTATATGAGTGTGAATGAGTGTGTGGATGTTTCCCAGAGATGGGTTGCGGCTGGAAGGGCATCTGCTGCGTAAAAACATGCTGGATAAGTTGGCGGTTCATTCCGCTGTGGCAACCCCTGATTAATAAAGGGACTAAGCCGACAAGAAAATGAATGAATGAATGAGTTTCAGGCGATGCAGTGGCACAGTAGGTAGTGCTGTCGCCTTACAGCAAGAAAGTCGCTGGTTCGAGCCTCGGCTGGTTCAGTTAACATTTCTGTTTGGAGTATGCATGTTCTCCCTGCGTTCGTGTGGGTTTTCTCTGGGTGCTCCAGTTTCCCCCACAGTACAGGTGAATTGGGTTTGGCTAAAATGTTCGTAGTGGATGTGTGTGAATGAGTGTGTATGGATGTTTCCCAGGAATGGGTTGCAGCTGGAAGGGTATCCGCTGCGTAAAACATATGCTGGATAAGTTGGCGGTTTATTCCACTGTGGCGACCCCAGATTAAAAAAGGGACTAAGCCAAAGGAAAATGAAGGAATGATTAGCATTTATAATAATAATAATAATAATAATCATCATCATCATCATCATCATCATCATAATAATAAAATTAACAACCTAAGTCAACCAGTCTAGCTAAATCAAAACTTTAAACGTTATTCCTATGTAACATATTGTAACCTGCATTCTGGAGATAAACATTCCATTTAACATTCCAGAAAACAATCTGGGTGAATCGCCAGGACAATAAAATCACTTGGTGACGAAAAGTCTGGCTTGGTAATCCCTTGGTGACATGTTAACAAGTCTGGGAGACTTCACAGAACCACTCTCTGCCTACTTCAAAAGAACGTGACAGATAAGATAAGAAAAGGAAAAAAACCTCTTTAGCCAACATTCTGCTCACAGACAAGACATTCCTCAAAATTAAACAAAGACATTTATAACCCAAATCTCTTGTTTAATTTCATTTAACTTTTGTAATGTGTACAATACCTGATATAGACTATACACATTCACGCTTGCAGGCCTTTTTAAAAGCATCAAGGATGTAAGGATATGGGAACTATGTGATGTACTTGTAGAGTGTTTGGTGTCAATAGAATGCCCTGGACATTTTATAACACATGATGCATAGATCGAGACCATAACTCGCATTGCTTTATTCTTTAAAGCCCTGTATTAAATGCCTGTCCGCATGCTTTAGGCGGGCGCTCAAATTTGCATACGTGCAGCCCAGAGACAAAGGAAGGTTCGCGCGCAAACTTTCCCCTGAAATCATTGGTCAGAATGCTGTACGGGTTGTCACGTGACCCGCAGGTATAAGCACACTTCCCCCCCAAACATCTGGGCAGAAAGAGAACTTCCCAAAAAGGAACATCATTGACGGTGGTCCCTTTAAGGGCCACACGGCTCTTCACAGCCGCATGGACTTTCCCGCCACGTTTTCTTTATTTTCCGGCAAAGTAAATTCAGTTTAAAGTTTGCGATCGTGTTCGTCCGAACTGCATTACAAACTCCACGCATCAAAGGACATCAAGAGTAGTTTTCATCACGACGGAAGAGAGACGCATAAAAGAGACCTCCAGACATGAAAAACCAGGTGATTTTAGTTATGCGATTAAGCTGTGCCCCTTTTATCAAAAAGGTGTTTTTTATATAACCTTGGTGGTCCTTAATGGTGCGTGTGGAACTGAAAGTTTTGTCACTCTTTAATCTGAAATCTATATTTTCTAGCTTTACTATTTCTCTTTGCTGTTACACGTTCTATAGACCCGATATCTCCACGTGGTTTACCTTTGTTTTGTGTTAAATGTATGTTTGTGCGTTTGTTTGTTCGTTACGTCTGACTAGTCAATAAATTCCATTATAATCAAATGAATTGTATTGTTTGCCTCACGAGAAAATGTCACTGAAATACAGATTCCCCTGCCTAGCTATTATAAGTTGTTTAAAACTTTTGAATGATTAATCTACTTCACAAGAAGTAGCAATTAAATTCCCTTTTTCTAAATGAATAGATTACAGTGTCCGCTCGGAAGAGCGGCGGCTCTGTTTGTGTTCGTTTGGTCAAATTGACAATAAATTGATCCGGAATATTAATGATTAATAATAATTCGTTATTGTTGATAATTAATATTCATAATCTGGGAATCCGCTCGGTCGCGCGAGCATGATCATTTACAATCATATGTTTGTTTGACCAAACTGACTGAAGCTTAAGCCGGAATATTAATAATTAAGAATAAACCGTTATTGTTGATTATTAATATTCATAAAATGAGCTAATTTCATGCTACATCCTATTACTAATGTAATTAATAAAATACATCTAATAATATAAAATATTATTTTTAATGTTACTATACATCAGATTTTCCAGTACTTTCCGACCAAAACCTGAATTGTTAGCCGCTTAGTTTACACATAAATGTTTTTTTTTTTTTCCAGCACTGTCTAGTAGCCAATCAGAGACGTTGGATGAGTCACCGCTGAAACACGAATACACGAGTGGAATAATGTAAGTAAAAATAATTATAAAATATTAATTTCGAAGTCTGTTATTATTGGACGACATTTGTTTCTGTTGACAGATTTTGACGTGCTGTTTTACCAAACATTTATACTGTAGGCCAGTGGTTCCCAACCTGGGGTCCGCGCCCCCCTAAGGGGGGCGCCAGAGTTCACAAGGGGGGCGTGGGATAGGATAAGTGTTGAGGTAGAAAAAGGCATAAAAATGCTCTACTATTTTATAGGGCTGTACAATTAATCGAAAATCCGGTTTCGATTTCAAACGATTATTAAAAAAGCATTAATCGAGATAAAGTTTATTGCATCATAAACCGCCCCCTTTCCAGTTGTTCACGTTTGTTGCTTCTAAAAGCGCGAAAGACCGCATGCTTATTTGTGTGTGTGCAGCAAGCACACGCAGTCAGAAGCATGCGGCCGGTCAGCATTCGGTCTCATTCGCACACTGAGACGAGCAGCGGAGCACAGACATCTAAAGTCATCTTAACGTGAGCGCTTTAATGGTCAAATAGGTGTCAAAACGCGGTGTTTAGTGATTATTTATATTAACCCTCATTTGTGTAATAAACAAACGAGTTGAGGATAAAAAGACGTGAAAGAGAAACCATTAAAGAGACAGCGAGAAATATTCCTGCTACCGCCTGTTTTTATCATTAATCAAACAATGACAAAATCCCTCACTAGTCTTGACTGAAGGACTGCTGTAGCTAAAGTGATTTTCTTACAGTGAAGATGCTTAAATCACAGTTTGTTTAATATTTTTATTCTATTGTATTTATTTATCTTTCCTTTGCAAGGTGGAAATAACTGTACTTGAAGTCAGAATTATTAGCCCTCCTGAATATTAGCAACCATTTTCCAGCCCAATTCTGTTTAATGGAAAGTTTTTTTTTACTTATTTCTGAACATATTAGTTTTGATATCTCGTTTCTAATTACTTATTTCTTTTATCTCTGCTATGATGACAGTACATAATATTTTACTAGATATTTTTCAAAATACAAACATTCAGATTAAAGTGCAGTTCAAAGGCTTAATTAGGGTAATAAGGCAAGTCATTGTATGACAGTAGTTTATTCTGCAGACAATCAAAAATATATATTGCATAAGGGGGCTAATAATATCGAAGTTAAATTGGTTTAAAATATTTAAACCTGTTATTATTCTAGCTAAAATAAAACAAATAAGCCTAGAAGAAAAATATTATAGGAAATACTGTTAAAATTCCTTGTTCTGTTAAACATAATTTTGGGAAATATTTCTAAAAAAAAAAATCTCAGGAGCACAAATAATTTTGACTTTAACTGATAATCGTTTTGAATAATCGTGATTACAATTATGACCAAAATAATCGTGATTATGATTTTCCCAAAATCGAGCAGCCCTAGTATTATATATGTATTTTCAAGTACTAAAAAAAATCTAAATCAAAACATGCTTAAAATTCCAACATAATAGTAAAAATAATTAAAATAAATAACTTTAAATAATTATTTAAATTTTGCTCACGCAATGTGCTTGTCCAACGCATCGTAAAGGCAAAATCAAAACAAAAATGGCAGAGAAACGTAAATGCAGTGGTTCTTCAGAGGCGAAGAAAAAGATTAGACAAAGATTAGTTTTATTAAAGGCCAAGACAAGTTAAAAGTGATTAATTTATATTTTCTATACATATTATATATTAATATTACACAAACACACACATACAGTATATATATATATATATAGACAGTACATATGTGTGTGCGTGCGTGTGTATTTATATGGTGGGGGGGCTCCAATGTTTGTATATGTTCATGGGGGGGGGGGCCCCAAAGAAAAAGGTTGGGAACCACTGCAGTAGGCTGTAGTTTTTTTGTTATAAAATCACAGCCTTCTCTGTAATTGTTTAGTTTTTATTTAATTTTCCTCCTTATAATTCAGTAGCCTACATAAGATTTCGTAGTCTTATTGAGGAAGTATAATTGATTAAACTGGTTAAAACTTGTCAACAATTAAGACACTTTTACCATGGTACTTAAAATAGCCTTCATGAAGGTGAAGTTAGTTCATTTTTGAGACACACTATTCTCAGAAGTGAACTTGTTTGAGTGTGACATTATTAATGGAGATCATTCCTCCTTTTTGTTTATCAGTCATCCTGAAAGCACTGTACCAGTAACAAATTTAAAAATGCAGATCTATAATTGCATTTCAACATGTGAAAGTCTCTTAGCTTTGAATTTTCCATTTGCCCAGCGGACCAGAAACTTGAAATAGGATGTGGAGAAACAATATTGATCAGAATCGTTACACTGATAATATCATAATTTCATAAAAGCAACACTGGCCTAAAAGCATTTGAGTGTTTTTTAGAGATAATTAAATGCTGCTGTATTCATGAAGCTTTTAAAGGTGAAGTGTGTCATTTTTATACCATTATCAGTATCAGCCAGAAATGCTGTTTTCATAGCTGTCATTAGTCTTGAAGCATATGGTTTTGCATGCTTTACCATTTTTTAGGGGAATCACCCTAATATGTTAAAGATTGTTATACAGGAATGTTTTTTTTTTCCCGTTCGCAACATGTTTGACTAAAATCAGTAAGTCTAGCAAATTTAAAATTGTTAAAGTAATTAAGAAGATGTATAAAAAATATAAAAACAAATAAATAGTCAAATTGATGAAATATAAGATATATCTTTGAGGACAGAAATGTAGGATTGTTCATTTAATACCAGCTTGTCTAGCTTAATCACAAATATAAAAAAATATTTACATAATAAAATATTATTATTAGTTGTAGCGGTAGAATAATTATATTAGGCATGGGCCGGTATAAGGTATGATATATATAAGAGATGAATATATCACGGCTTTTTGTATCACAATATTGTAATTACTGCTCTTATGTTATTTTTAAATATCTGGGTAAAAAAAAAAAAAAAAAAAAAAAAAAAAAAAAAAAAAAAAACTTTCCTATTTGAACACTATATATTTTATTTTTAAGAATAATTTGAAATGTCAATAACTTTTCAGGCTACATAATTGTAACGAGGAGACTGACACGGAGGGATGCATATGCAGTATTTATTAATCACACTCACTCAAGCATACAATATGCACAAAGGTGCAAACACACATTAATAGTAGCAGTAAAGGTCTCAAGGCTGGGGGCTGACAGACACAGAGTGATTTACCAGGCAAGGGTCAGAGGCAGGCGGTGTGATACAGAGTCCGAGTGTCAGGCTTGGATCAAGGGCAGGCAGCGAGTATCAGAGTCCGTGTATCAGGCTTGGGTCGTGGGCAGGAAGAAGGCAAAGCAGAGTCAGAAACGGGCTGGAGTAATACACAGGAGATCAGGCAGGATATAACGCTCAGTAATGCTGGCCGGGGCTGAAACAAGACTTCGCACTGACTGAGTGTTTGGAAGTGGCTTATAAAGGGTACGTGGGTCATTAGCTTGATTCAGGACAGGTGTGTGCACGATCAGTCTAGGTGGATGATGTAATGCTTAGAAATCCGGGGATGGCGGCCTCTGCTGGCCAGCGAGTGGAATGACTGGGACCGAGTCAGTGACAATAATTAAAGAAAATCATTGTTGACTTCTGCTGTCTTCATCAGATTCAAAAACAGTTTACTTCTGGAGATAACTTTCTTCTAATAAATTCTCCTAATTAAATCTTTGCGTGTTTAACATGCAAAAAAAAAAAAAAAAAAAGCGTCCATGTATTATAGAAACGGTATAACAGAAAATCTTTGCGGTTTTTAAACCGCTGTAAACCTTGAAACCAGTTATCATCCCATGCCTAATTTATACTGTAATTAATTAAATAATTTTCCATTTAAAACGCATGGAGGTCACGTGACCATCATGAGGAACGCAGCATCTCATTTCTCACAGGACGGGTTTTAAATGGAAAATTATTTAAAAATTACAGCACTCATATAAACATTTATTGTTTTTCCCCTTTTCAAAATTTTTTTATATTATGCTTAAAAACATTATATACGTTGCGCAATATAAATAAAACTGATTTCAATACGAATTTCAGCAAATAAACACCCTTAATGTGTATATTCATTTAATTAAGATGTTTATGGTAATGTTTATATTCACGATCCGTTTCATTTAGGGAAACTCCTGAATTAAATAAATGATATCTCTGAACTTTAATAATGAATCTAAATAAAATGCTGCGCTTCCCACCCGCAGTCGCAATGACTTCTGGGAATTCTAGTGCTCAAGTCTGCCTCGCTGTGTCCTATATCAAGAACCCATCCAGAAAGTTTCAGGCATTCTCTGTTCTTGTGGTCTTGAGTATTGGAACTGAACTTTGGCAGCTGATGATGACGTAACACGAGGACGCAAGACTGCTGAAGAACGCATATTGAGAATATTGAGAATCAGCCCATGTCTCCTTAACCAAGCACACCTGATTCAGATCATTCGCTCATTAGCAGAGACTGAAAGACCTGTAATGGGTGTGACAGATGAAGGAGACATCCAAATCATGCAGTGCTGGTTGTCCTCCAGGAATGTGGTTGAGAAACGCTGCTTTAAATAGTATTTTACAAGCACCACATCCGAATAACTCGACTCTACATATTAATCTGGCATATAAAAAAACATTTAAACAAGCATGGGGAAAAATTAGACATTCAGCTGTGAAGACATGAATGCTTTATTCCACATAACTTATTTATTTTTGCCAACCGTCCAGCCAAGCTCCATCACTACCTCAACATGTAAATATCCTGCTGTCTGCTGCTGAGTTTGAATTTCATTTACAATGTTCTAAACAGATTTGTTATTTGCTTCAGTGTATTAAACAACAATCCAGTCCGTAATGAGCATAAATCATTTTTTCTTAATACGAGACAGTGAGGTCTACTTGAACGAATTGCAGGTCCATAACTCTCCTCAGGGGAGCCGGCCTGAAAACCTGCGCCACGTCGTTTGCTATAACTTTTCACTCGAGTGTGGCCTTTGCAATGAGTGTCCTTGGGGCG